TGAAAGCTGGATGACTGAGGATGACAAAAGAATTGATGCCTTTGAATTGTGATGTGGGAGAAGAGGCTGGACTATCCCAGGGACTGCTAAAGAACAGTCACATCTTGGAGAAAGTATAGCCAGGGTGCTCCTTGGAGGCAAGGATGGCGAAGCTTTGACGCACATACTTCTGAGCATGTTGTTAGGAGGGGGCCAGTCCTTGGAGAAGGCTATCATGCTAGGAAAGAGAGCCAGTCAAGAGCAGAAGACCCTCCGTGAAATGGATCAACACCGTGACTGTAACAACAGGGTCAAGTATGCCAGAGATCGTGAGTACGTTAGTTGTTCAGTGCTGTTGCTTATGGAGTCACTATGAGTGGCTGCAAACTTGATAGCACCTAACAACAACACAACCCAGCCACGTGGTGACAGTAATGAAGAAAATGTCTAGAAAAGCCATATTAGCTAATCTAGTGCAGCTCACCCAGTCACGGACACAATGAACAATCACAGAGAGTAGAACACAGGGTACCCTCTCTGAGGGCAAGGCGATCCAATCTGTTGTCGCTCTTAGTATGACTCGCTCTCTCAGACCTTTGCTTCCAACATGACAAAGAAAAGGAGATACAAAGGTCGTGCCAGAAAGGTCCACGGCCACGTGCACGAACTGCTCCCGGTGCGTGCCCAAAGACAAGGCAATTAAGAAGTTAGTAATTCGAAATATCGTTGACGCAGCTGCGGTCAGGGACATTTCTGAAGCGAGTGTCTTCGACGCATGTGTGCTTCCAAAGCTCTGTGTGAAACTGCACGACTGTGTGAGTTGTGCCATTCCCAGCAAGGTGGGGAGGAACTGTTCTCATGAAGCCCTGAAGGACCGAACATCTCCACCTAGATTTAGACCTGCAGGTGCTGCCCCACAACAACCACCAAAGCCCATGGAAGGATTTAATTCCTTAAAGGCTCAAGAAAAAACTCGTCTGAAAAAAAAACGGAAATTATACTTTAAAAAGAAAAAAGAGGACATCGTGCTTGGGAGGGTGGAGGGACAGTGCAGGAGGGGAAGGCCCTCTATGAGGTGGATTGATTCAGTGACTGGGTTAATCGGGATGGAAGTGTTGGAGACAGTGCGATTGGCACAGGACAGAGCAGGGTTTAGGGCTGTTGTACATAGGGTCGCTATGAGTCTCAAGCGACTCGATGGCACATAACAACAACGACTCATAGAGGCCGTGTGTATAACAGACCTGAAGGCTGTACCATCTGTGCCGTCCTCACCATTTCTGACATGTTAGAGCAGTGAGATTTTTTTGGAAGGGCACCCACCTGAGAAGTCTCCTTCCTCTTGCTCTGGGAAAACGTGAGCCCGGAGAGGGTCAAAGCTGGGTATGCTCCTTCACGTTTAGCTCTGTGGGAAGGCCTGGGAATTCCTCTCTCCTACCTATGCAAATAAGTGATTCCCCTCACTCCTAATACCTAACTCATAGGGTTGTTGAGATTAAAGAAAGAGATCAATCAGAGCTGAAGGGTCTCATCTCTAGCATCAATTATTCTGGGCTGGTAACGACCAGGCAGCCAGGCCAGGGCTGGCCAAATGAGGGAAGTTGTGGTTCAGAAACTGCCCAAAAGGGAGTTTCTTGAAGGGGATTTCTCTTTCTCCTCATTCCCTTCCTTCAGGAAACCTTGAAAAGTCTGAAAAAAGGGAAATGCTGACCTAATTGAATGAAGTGCATGATTTTTAAAGGGGGGTTTCAAAGCACCTAGACTTTACGTAGATTGGGACTCCAAGTAATCCCACAGACCAGAGTAGAATTGCCCTTGGAAGGGCTGAAGGATTTGGAACCAAACTGTCAGCCCTTTTGTTAACTGCCTAGTACTTTAACTCTCACATCATCAGGGTATCATCTAAAGAGAGAAGGAGCAACAAAATTCTATCACTAGAAGTGATGTACCAACCTATCGACGTATGTATGAACAGTCAGCAGTCTGGCTCCCATTGCTGTGTATGTGTTGCGTTAGTCTTAGGGAGGTTTTGGGGGAGAGTACGTTGGAAAGAGGACAACTGTATGCTATCACTTTTCAGAGCAGCTTCCCTCTTTAGTAGTCCCTGGGAACAAACAGGAACCAGTTCTGGGGAAAGCCCTGTGCAATTACTGGACAATTGCATCTCCATTTAAGGAGAATGCAGTTAAGAGGAAATAACACATGCACTGACTATAGGTCGGTGAGCAATCTATAAGCAAGGCCCAACTCACCACCTGACTTGCTTCAGCCAATCCCAGCACAGCTATCTGATGGCGCTGGCCTTCAGACACTGTAGACACCAAGGGAAAAGTCCCAGTGCAGCAGGAAGTGGATCATCTATTAGGCCAGTGGTTATCTTCCCTCTGATGAGTCATCTCTCAGGAAAATCGGAGGGCCACACCTGTCTGTATCTCTGAGGTATATGGAAAACCCCATCAGGCAGGATTCCTGACAGGTTTTACCTTGAGTAATTCCTCTTACCCCCTTGGCATTTCCAACTACAGCATCTTTAGATCCCCCTTTTCTCTCCTCAAAGGAGAATCTATAGAAATGTGGGTGGCTCCCAGGCCCACAAATTCAGACATATATTTGCATAATCTGCACAAAACATTTTCCATGAAAATTGAACCTTAACTTTATTTTTTAACCTTAAGTTGTTAAAATTATAAAGCATAATCACTGATTCAGCAATAAAAGTAGTTGGGGCATGTTCAAGAGGGTGCAGTCCTTGGAAAAAGACATCATGCTTGGAAGGATAAGAGGGGTCAATACGGGAAAGGAGGACCCCAGGTGAGATGGACAGACACCGTGACGGGCAATGGAGTCTGGTGTGTCAGAGATGCTGAGGTTGGCTCAGGATAGGGCAAGATTCAGAGCAAAATTCATAGGATCACCATGAGTCATATAGGCAATTTGACAGCACACCACAACTATTTAGTGAGCATTTCCGTTATTGTTGTTAAATCTCATCAAATTGTAGATGACACATAGCAACCCTATGAATAAAAGACCTGAACACTTGTATAACTTTCATCGCTTCTCCAAGTTAATAGGGTTTCCTGAGGCAAGCTACTGTGGAAGTGGATGCCACTCCTGCTTCCAAGCTTGTTTTAATCGGAAAGCTCCACCAAACACTGTCCACCATGGGTTACCATTATCGCATTTGACACATCAGTGTCATAGTGTTTAGCATCACAGCAACCATGAGTTACCTCTGTACAGCAAATGGACAGACCAGTGCTATGACACTTAGAAGAATGTTTGCCCAAAACCAATTAAAACCAGGTCTGAGGGCCGCAGATTATATCACGCACCTTTGGCTTGGTGGCATCACTTTCTATCCACTAGGGCAACAGAGCTCTCTCGTTGTTCTTGCTGTTGTTGTTAGGTGCCTTCGAGTCATAGACATCTCATAGAGACTCCAGAGAGACTAGTACAATATTAATTCTCACAATAGGTAGCAGGTATTTTTATTAGCATTTTCTAGGTTAAATAAAGACATAGGGTAATTAATAGCTGCATAGGCTGTAACTAGTATAACCACAAAGGTTAGCCTATAGGAAGGAAACTCAAACTGTATCTTCCACTTTTCATGGTCTTGGAGAATGTTGTTGATTGCCTTCGAGTTGAGCACAACTCAGCAACCCTATGAACAGAAGGCCTGAAGTCCCTCTACAACTATCGACATTTATCAAAGTTCATAGTTTCTGGAGGGATGTTGTTTAGGAAGTGGATGCAATATCTAGAAAAACAACTAGAAAAACCTAGATAACTGAATACAAATGCTTCATAATACAGATGGGAAGACTGAGGTCCAAAGAGGGGTTAAGGTTTATTTTCTCAACTCGTAGTTTTTTGTTCTTCTCCCATAAAGCTTTTCCCTCTGTCTATCTTAGGAGGAATCATGCTCCTAGTTATTTATTTCTATACTTTCACTTCTCTTTGTTACTCCTATTTCCTCCCATCTTTATATTATTGTTGTTGCTAGGTGGCGATCAAGTTGAGTAAGACTCATAACAACTCTGTGAACAACTGATCCAAACCCCGTCCTATCCTGTGCCATCCTCACAACCACAAACATGCTTGAGCCTATTGCTGTTGTCACCATGTCAATCCATTTCATTTAGTCATCCTTTCCTTCAATATCCCTCCACCTTCTCAAGCGTGATGCCTTCTCCAAATAGCCTTTCCAAGCAACATGCCCAAAGTATGTGAGACAAAGCTTTGTCGTCTTTGCTTCCAACGAGCACTCTGGCTTGTACTCTAGCCAAGATGTATCTGTTTAGTCTTTTGACAGTCCATAGATTATTCTGTACTACAAATGGAAGAAAGGAATGGAGGTAGAAAAGTCTCATCTGCCTATTACATCTGGTTTTTTGTGTGATCAAATCAATTCCCTTGTATGACACTGGGATAAATCCAGTTTTTTTGGTGCTGAGTCGATTTCCTCATCTGGGGAAACACTAAATGCACACGGACAGCACTGTTGTTATGCGTTATGTGGAATTGCACGGGAGAAGATTGCCCAACTTCTCCTGCGGAACAGCTGGTGTTTCTGGACCACCTGACTTGCATTGGCAGCCAATTCTTTATCCACTAAGCGCCCCCGAGTTCCCTCTTTATTACACTAGTCACTAGCGTGAGACAACACAGGAGGCCGAACTGCCCTTCCCTCAACGGAGGCGTCGCGTTTCCCTGAACAAACATGGCGGCGGTGCGCGGACGCGCGACCTAATTCTCTCCCGCACCGCTCTCCCTTTGGGGGCGGCGAGCCTTGATGATGACAGAGGGCGGCGCGCATGCGCGATGGCGGCGAGGGGCGGAGCGCCTTGTGTGAGTGCCAGGCTCCCGTGGCCGGGGTGAGATGGTGTAGCTCGGGCCGCGGGCGGGCGGCGAGGTGTGCGCGGGAGCTCAGCGGCCGCGGGGGCCCCGGACGCCGCCGGATGGGCCGGGGTGCAGCGGCAGCGCGCTGAGCGGGTGTTGCCATTGATTTTCCCCCCGCTCCGGCGCTGCCGCGGGAGGCCGCACCCGCCATGGCTGCCCGGGAGGTACTGGATGAGTTCACGGCGCCCGCGGAGAAGGCGGCGCTGCTGGAGCAGAGCCGCGGCCGCATCGAGGGCCTGTTTGGCGTGAGCCTGGCCGTGCTCGGCGCCCTGGGCTCCGAGGAGCCGCTGCCCGCGCGCATCTGGCTGCAGCTCCGCGGGACGCAGGAGACGGTCCACAGCGCCAAGGTGAGTCTGGCGGCCGCCTCCTCTCTGTCGGGGTCCCCCTTCCAGTGCCCTCAGGTTCAGTGGAGAAGAGCAGGCTCCAGAGCGCGTGGACCTGCGTTCTCAGTTTCGCTTACTGTGTGACCGTGGACTCGTGGTTTCATCTGGGGGAGGGGGACATTCAGGGCTCAGTTTCCCCGATTGTAAAGTGGTGACAGCGGAGCACCTACTGCAGGGGCTGCCATGAGAACTGGAGTGAGCTGAGCGATCTGTTTAAGGCGCGCGGAGCGCAGTGCCTGGCAGCAGTGCTCCAGGAATCTGGCTCCCATCACAGCAGACCTCCCTGAAGCCCCTTAGGATGGTGCGCGGGGCCTTGGTGGCAGGGCCAGCAGCCTCTGTGTCCTCCCAGCCTCTTCCCCAAGGCTGCCACTACAGGGACACTGAACCCTTTGGGAATTCCAGTCTCCTGTGAAAATCTGAGAAAAGGGAAATAATAGTGAAATACTTAGAGTGTCAGGATGACATCTTAATCTTAGCTGTGTTTTAAACTGGTGTTGACATTCTGTGTAACTAACATTTACTGACGTTTATTGCCCATAAGACATTATGCTGAATATTTTAGAAGGGTTATCTAATACAGCTTTACCCTGATGAGGCAAATTCTGTAATTCTTCTTCCAGGGGTTTGTTTTGTTGTTGGTGGTGGGGGGTGCATATGTGTATGTATGTATGTATGTATGTATGTGTAACAGCTGAGGAAACTGAAACTCTTAAGAGACAGTGACTCACCTCCTCTAAAATCAGCCTTGCAAACTTGAACATACTGAACACCTTCCTTGATCTTACCTTCCTTGCCCTTAAAACAGAAATAGGACAAAATTTGTTCCTCCTCGCAAGTACTCATATTCCTTCCAGGTTTTTCTGGTTAGTTGAGAGTAGGAAGTAGAATTCAGATCTAAGAAGAAAAAGATCAAAACGCAATTGCTGACCAGTCAGAACAGACCCAGAGCTGAGCTTCCACTGGGTTTCTGAGGCTGTAAATTGCAGGAGAGGAGATGGCCTCTCTCCTGTGGGGCAGGAGCTCCCTTTATAGGGATGAAGAGCCCATGTTTTTGGTAGTTGAGGGCAAGATGAGACATCTTTTGTTTGTTTACATTCTGCTTTAAGTAAGTTTCACAGTGCCACTCAAGAATCATACTGAGTCAAATTTGCTTTCTTTGAATTTTCAGGCAATTCTGTGACTTCAGATAGTTGCACTAATTTCCCTGCCTCCTTTCTTGTCCTCAGCTACCTTTTTCACTTTGAAGAATCCAAAAAAATTTGACAGAACTAAATCCTGTCAGAGCTCTGGTGGTCTATTGATAACGAGCTACGTTGCCAGACCAAAGACATGCTGAATCTACCAGCTACTTCATGGAAAAATAGATGGACATTCTCCTCCCACACCATTTACTGCCTCTGAAAATCTGCTGGAGGGTCAGCAGTGAGGTGATTCTGACTTGACTGCACGTAGTAACAGCAACATACAGCAAATCTTGTTAGGAAGCTTGGTGGCAAGAAGTTGAGCTCCCAGTCCAGTGGCAGGTGGTTTAAACCCAGCAGCTAGCAGCTCCATGAGAGGAAGCCAGGCGGGCAGTCCCCTTTTGTGTAACTTACAGTCTCTGAAAGCCCAGTCACCTCTGACGCAGTTCTCACTCAACAGTAACAGCAACAAATCCTATTTTCCCCCCATTAAGTCCCTCAAGTATTCATTCCTCTTTTTCTCTCTCTCTCTCTCCTTTCTTTCTTTTTTGCTATAGATATTGTCTTATTAGTATTTTTGGATTGTAAAGTACTGATTTATGCCATGAGCCTTGCCTTGCTTCACTGTCTTCACACAGTTCTTGCCTCCCTTCTGATAGGACTTCCCACCAAATGTCTCTCTCCTGCTGTGGAGCCTAGTTGCCTGTTTCATTGTATAAACTTCTCTTTGATTTATGAAACTCTTAATCTAGCCCCATTGTATATTCCCTCTCCTCTATAGACAGACTAGTTTCATTCTTCTTCCTGTGTGTGTTGAGTCTGCTCTTAGTTGTTTTTTTTTACTCAAGCCTAGCACAGAAAGCATTTCCTTTAGAGAACAACCCTGCCCCTCTGGTCACACCTTCCAGCTCCAGTTCTTTCATACTTTGTTGTTGTTGCATATGCTGTTGAGTCACAACTGACTTTTAGCTAACCCTCCAGCAGGTCTTCAGAAGCTGTAAACCGCACAAGAATAGTGCCCGTCTTTCTTACCAGGCGCACCTGGTGGGTTTAAAGTGCTTACTTTGGGATTGGCAGTGCAACTAACTCCTTACCCACTGGGCTGTCAGTTCAGTATAAACTAATTGACAAAGGTGCATTTACGTCATCTTGCTGCTAGGTGTCGCCTGGCCTTGTGTCTTTGTGATGTGTGTATTCATAACCCAACTCCCCACCCCCTCAACTTTTCCCCTGAGCTGAGGCCACACTAAGGGGTGGTTGTTGTCTTTATTTAGTGTTGGATTTGTTTTCCTTTTTTTTCTCAAGTGACATTCATTAACTTGATTTCAAAGGTTGAAAACAGGAACACACACTTCATTTAGCACTTATACTAATTTACATTAAATTGTAGAACAGAAGGCTTGAGGAAGGCCACTAAATTCAGAATAAACCAAAGTACCCGCTCCAAGTCAAGACTGTTTGGACTCACGTGGAGTCTCTATAGTGTTCCTGAGGCTATCTGACTTTCTCCTGGGGAGCAGCTGGTAGATTTGAACCACCATTCCTTTGCTTAGCAGGCGGACACTTGAAACTCTAAGCCAGCCACTAGGACTCCTTTAGAGTAAGGAAGAGTTTGAAATTCTTAAAGAGCTCATTGCCATCAAGTTAAAGAAGATAGTCCATCTTCTCCTGCCAGGGATCATTTGTTCTGAATCTTAATCTGTCATTCACTCCCTGCTTTTAAAATGCAGTTCACTCCTTTGCAGAGGCTAGGGAAGAACAATGGTGTTCCATTGATTCGGCCTCTTTTGCTGGTGGAAAGTGAGATGGAGGATAAGAAAAGAAAGTTACAATGCCTGAGCCCCTGAGTGTTTCTGGCTTCCTTGGAGCCCATGTGTTGGTAATTTTAGCTGTAATCTTTTCTCTATGGCTGCTGGGTAGATTCAAACCACCAATCTTTAGGTTAGTAATTAAGTGTGCATCATCCAAGGATCTTGATAATGCAGTGGTGTTAGTTGCCATCAAGCCTATTCTAAGTCACAGTGACCTCTGCGAGGTGCTGGGAGTCAACTACAACTCATAGAAATCCTGTGAACAACAGCCGGAACCTTGCCCTACCTATCCTGCACATCCTTGTCATCTCTGGTTTACTTGAGCCTGTTGTTTGCCGTCATATGACAGTCCCATCTTGTTGAGGACCTTATTCTCTTTGAACCTCTCTACTTTTCCCAGCACAATGTCTTTTTTTACAAGGACTGCCAATCCTGACAGCATGCACAAGTACGTGAGACCACGTTTCACCATTCTTGCCTCCAAGGAGTACCCTAATTGCGTTTCCTCCAAGATAGAGCTCTTTGTTCTTTTGACAGTCCATGGGATACTCAGTTGTTTTCTTCAACACCACAATTCCAAGGCATCAATTCTTTTGTCATCCTTACAGTAACTGTCCCCAACTCTCAGATCGTAGAAAACAATTGAAAATACCATGAAGTACTTCAGGGGCACCTTAATCTTTTAAGTTTTCATTACTGTTCTTTAACACTTTGGAGAAGTCCTGAGTGGTGGTGGTGGTGGTGGTGGTGGTGGTGGTGGTTATGTTAGGTGCCATTGAGTAGGATTTATAGTGACCCTATGAACAACAGTTCTGAACTTTGTGCCATTTTCATCTCTGGCATACTTAAGCCCATTGCTGCAGTCACTGCGTCTGTCCATCTCATTGAAGAACTACCTCTCTTTTGCTGCCCCTCTGCCTTTCTAAGCATCATGTCCCTTTTCAAGGAACAGTTTTTCTCCTAGCAGGATGCCCAAAGTATGAGAGATGAAGCTTTACCATCTTTGCCTCCAAGGAGCAGTCTGGCTGCACTTTCTCTAAGACTTCTCTGTTTATTCTTTTGACAGTCCACAGGATATTCAGTATGCTTCTCCAACACCACAGCTAAAAAGCATCAGTTCTTTTTCTGTCATCCTTACTCGTCGTCCAGCTTTCAGATGCGTAGCAAATGATTGAAAAGATCATAGACTGAACCAGGTGCACTTTAGTGTTCACACTAACATCCCAATGCAATGTCTCCTGATCTCCTGACTGCTGTTACCAAGAGTATCAATTAGTGATCCAAGCAAGATGAAATCATTGACAACTTCCATCCTCTCTCCCTCTATCATGATGTTGCCTGTTGGCCCAAAGGTAAGAACTTGTGTCTTCTTGATACTGAGATTTAATCTATGTTTTATTCTAGTCTGTAGAAGGCTGTAGTCTTTGATCTTCTGCAGCTCGCCATTCGAGTCCTTCTCAGGATCAGCAGCCAGTGTGTGTCATCTGCATGACGGAGGTTATTGATGAGTCTTCCTGATTCTTCTTCATAGAGTCCAGCTTCATGAACTATATGCTCAGCATGTAGATTGAATAATATGGTGAGAGGCCACATCCCTGGCTCACATCCTTCCTGATTTTAAACCATTTGTTCAACAGGTCTAGATTCTGTATGCGCACAATCAAGTGTTCTGGGATTCTGTCTCTTCTCAGTGTTAGCTATAGTTTGTTGTTTTCTACACAGTCAAATAAATGCCTTTACATAGTCAATAAGACATTGATAGACATTCTTCTGATAATTCCCTGCTTTCGGCCAGGATCCATCTGATATCAGCAAACACATTCCTGGTGTCACAGCCTCTCCTAAACCCCTCTTGAGCTTCTGACAATTCTCTGTTGATGTACTATTCTAGTGATTTTTTTTTAAGATCTTCAATATTTTGCTTGCATGAGATATTACTGATACTGTTTGATAATTTACAATAGATATAGGC